GATCCGATCGAGAGGGTCCATTCAACGCGTGATACAGAGTAGGAACGAGGGGGGGGGAGATGGAGGGGGAAGTGGCTGGCTCTCTCGCGTGGCGCCGAGCTAATACGAGAAGGGTGGAAGCGCGATTTCCCTAATGCCCGCCAGCCCGCGGAGCCGAATGTTATTATGCGCGGTGAAGACTTTATAATGGGACGTGGAACTCCTTAAAACTCGCAGATACGCGCCTCCGAAAACGCCGGCTCCGTTACGGCGCGTTCGCGGGAGCAAACCCATAACTGGAAACTTATGCCGCCGCGATTGCGTTACGAGGTCGTTTCGCTCGATGGGCTGTTTCGTTTTTAGAATTGCGCGCCGAGTGGCCCGCAATCGGTCGCGTCACGCCGTCGTTACGTTCGCTGTTGCTGCCGCAAAAATTGCGGCCATTCGATCTAATAAAATACATCGTAATTAACCGTTCGATCAAAGCTCATGGCAAATGGAATCATCGTCACTCGCTTTGTTCGACGGATTTTTTTTGCTGATTCTGCGATTGAAAAGAGAAAAAGTGAGAATGTATGTATGCATTAGTATGTGGTATGTGTAATTACATCGGGCACGTAACATTATTGATTTTTTCCAGTTGAAAATCACACTTTCGGGTTAATAACCTTGACGTTGTAATAAATTATGCGATGCAGTTCGAAGATAGCGTTAGGAGACCCGGTTGACTTTAATTAATTTTTCTGGGAACGGCCCAGAAGTTGTTTTAATTCGTACGCCACGCTATTCATCGGCGCGAAGATGCTATCAAAAATAATATCCACCTTTAATGCGTTCGGGCCGGAAGGGGTTAACAATCTCGGCTCGCTTCCGGTGCGTGCTCGGGCGAATTAATCCGACGTCGCGCGAGTAGCCGCGACTCGTCATCTCAACCCTCGAGCTACTCACCATCAGCACTACTACAGCCAGCACCACCACCACTACCACCACCATCAGCGTCCACGTCCAGAGTCGCATTAATCACGCCGAAGGCAGACGGGGGTGGCGGCGACGCGAGCGGGGACCAAGGGCGGTACGAGAGGAACGAAAGGGAGAACAGAACCCCTTAAAATAATCTGGCCCGAAATGAAATCAGCCAAGGCAATTTCCAACCCCCTCTTCGTATCCGACAGTGATGTTAACAGCGGTGGCGGTGGTTTTATCCGGCCGGCCGGCAGGACCGTCCTTTTCCTTTTACCCCCCCCCTCCCCCTCTCGTCCACCCCCGATTCCGTCGCAGTGCAACCGACAAATGACGACGCGACGGCAACCCCCTCGCGGCGACTCACGGAATTAAAGATCACGAGATAAGGGTGTCATCCTTCGCTATGCATTATGTGTTCGGCAAAAAGCTCGCCCCCGGGCCATCCCGCCGTTCCACCCTCCTACACATTCTTGTCTCTCTCTCCTCTCTCGTTTCTCTTTTCGCTGCCTGCTTCCTTCCCGCATGCATTTGTTTCAGATATAGGAGAGAGAAGGAGAGTAAAAAAGAGGGTGGAAGGCTCCAATTAATCTACTTCGTTCATTTTTTGCCCGTTCAAGGCATCTCCGCTGGCGTTCCTCTCGTATCGGCATTCTCGTACTCGTCATTTCGAGCACGAGAGATATAACGAAAAAGAATCTCGTACGTCTCGTCGCGAGTTTGTGGAGATTTTTTCGAAAACGATTGTAAGGGGATGTACGCGAAGATGCACTTCGGTTATGATCCGTACATCCTCTCGATCCGAACGAACGAGATTCTGGCCGATAGTCGTATTTCAAGTTTTATCGTCTTGAAAACATTAAGAGGTTAACATCGAACTTTCGGGAATAACTTCTGAGACGAATTCCTCGAATCGAAGTTTAAAGGTTCCTTGTCAAAATAATGCCTAATTGTGAAACTGAACTTTTCAAGTGCAAAATGGCGTAAAAAATATGAAATAAATAAAAAATGTGTCGCATAAACATAAATATTTTTTGCCAATGATATTTTAAAAATGTATTAAAATGCCATGGTTAATTTATTGTATTTAAGTTACAATTAGCGATTTCTCTTTTTTTAGAAATCACATCAAGACTTTAAGGTAAGTACATTTAAAATCAGATTCATTTACTTTACACCAATGATTACATAAATAATATTTTTATAGAATTCATTATTTCCGTTATCTCAATTCTGATTAATAGTCATCAAAATTAGAAACAGATGATTTCATTAGAGATAAACGTTCCAGAGTGGATTGAGACGGGGAATAAGGGAGCTTAATACTCACGGCGAAAATCGAATTTCAGAGGCCGTGTTCTGAAACATCCTGAAACAATCACACGGTTTGGTCGTTAGTAAGGCTGCATACAGACAGAGCCTCCACGGCCTTTGGTTCGGGCACGGGGAGTCGACGCCGTAGGGCCGAGCGTTATGTATAGGGTGTACCGAAGGAAATAACCGTCATCTGTATTCGCGATAACATCGTAATTGAATGCGGTTGACGGGGATTTGCAGCGTACGACGGCCGACCACCAGCGGCCCCCGCAAACGGTTCCCTTCCACCGTGCTCTTGCAGTTCTTCCTCCGTCGCGCCCTTCCCTCTTCGCGCAGCCCCCGACCCTCACCGATGATCCCTCTCTCCCTCTCTTTCGCCTTAGCTTCCTTTTCTTCGTTTCTCGTGACATTTTTCATTCCTACCTCGTCCCTCATTCTCGGAGATGAATTTAGAGGACGTTATAGTGCGAAATTAGATTCCGTAGGTCGAGAGACGAAAATAACCACAAGGGAGAATTTTGCAAAGCAACAATTAAGAATCGGTTTATTTTTTAAGCGACAATTTTTTTTAAAATTTTTATATAAATTAACGTCCTTCCATATTTCTCATTTCGCCAATCTCCCCACTGCGATCTCCTCTGTTGTTTACTTTTTCTATCCCACTTTCTTGGCCTGCCCTCTCGTTCGTGCCCTACCGTTTCCTCTCCTCTTTCCTTCCCTTCTTTCGCTCACGCTTTTTATCTCCCGGGAGTAGAGCATTAATCATATCAAGGCACGGGAAAATCTACTTCTTCGATATTTAGGGTGTATCGTGGTATTGTCACGTGTGTGCACACGCGTGCGTGGGCACGCGGGAAAGACCGGGGATGCCGGGAGGGAAGGTGGGGGGCGGTGGTGATGAATAGCGATACGGCGATAGTATAGAGAGGAGAACGCAGCCAAGTTTATGAGGAAAAATTTCGGTAAGGAGATTCTGCGGGAGTTATTTCAACGTCATTCTCGTTGCGAAATAGCCGCTTGTGACCTTTTTCGGAGAACCGAATGGCTCGATGTGATCCTATGAAACGGATTCAGGTCAATACGTCTGCAGTATTCTAATTGTGAAACTTCTAAATTTATTTCGACAGACAGTATTAAAAGTAAAATACATGTCCAAATCTCTTACGAAACATTTTACATATTTTACATATGT